CCCCCCCCCCCCCCCCGTCAAACAGAGGCTAAAACTGAAGCCGATAGCAAATGAAAGACCTAACCATGTCCCACAGTCAGTGGGAGGTAGTCCAATGGTCAGGTGACTTGCCTTGTTTCCCAGGGTATCCAGTGGCTGCCCTCTATTTCAGTCAGGCACATCTCCTCTCATAGAAGCACTTCATTCTAACCTTGATGATTTTCTTACAGCTCCCTAACCCAGCCAGCCTCTTCCCCCAGTCTCCCACCACCCACACTTGTGACCTTCCCTGCCCACTCAAGCTCCTCCTGGTCTCCCCTTTATTCTCACTGCCCTGCCTGTCTCCAGAGATTAACATCATCACCTTACTGTTACTAATTAGGCCATTCAGATTGTACCTGCCTGCCACAACTTAGGCCAGTCAGCTCAGTCAGGGCTGAACTACCCACTGCAAGGGTGTGCTCACAGCAATGGAGTTCTGAGGCCGTAAGAGGGAAGGGCTCAGTTTGTGACTGCACAGCATGTGCACAGCATGCCTTTATCATGTGTTTTCAGGCACCAACGCCCTCTTCTGCATAAACTGACATGCGATCAACACTTTCGTGCATACATCGGAAATTCTCTCCTATTCCTCTCTGCCCACTCTTTCACTCTCCATCCCAGAGAGCACCTCGCCTTTCATTATGCCATGTGCCCACTGCCTCCAACCCCAGGACTTCTCAACCCTCACACTTATGGCAGAAGTGCAGGGCACAGTCAGCAACCCTAGATCTCCCTAGTCCACAGAGCTCATGAGTCTATGGACAATGCTGGCCTCATATATCCTCCGACAGACAGATATCCAGGTTCCCACAGGACTAAGCCAGGCTGATCACATTCCCTTCTTCTCTATTTCATTCTGACCTTTAATCTTCCTGGGCATCTCTGCCAGGTTGGGCACATTTACTGAGTCTGGCACAGTGCTACTTGAACTTGCTGGTCTGGTAATTGCTAAGTGCCTGAGAAAGACACGCCCTCTAGCATCCTATCACCTGTGCTTTTTCCTTCCATTTCACTTTCTTCCCCCTTCTGTTTTAAGGACTAATGTCAAGGTCTGGCTTAGGCTAGGTATTGTATCAAACTGCTCCGGTGTGTGTTAAATGCTTCCTGTGTAATGCTGGTTATTTGAAGGGAAGGGGGCTTATTTGAAGGGAGAAGGGCGTGATTAGAAGGACTACATTTCAGTTCAGGGTTTGGGGGTGTGATGTTTTGTCTTGGTTTGCTGTTGCTTTCTCCGGACTAGTTTAGGAAGTCAGTTTTGTTGGGCTAAGGAGGAACTGAAATGCAGTCACTCACCTTTTTGACAGGGTTTCTCAGCTCTACAGTGGAATACTTTACCAAACAGAGGATAGAAGGAGACTGAAGCCAGACGTTGTTTTAAATGGAAATAAAGCCGCATACTGGAAGCGCCTTGGGATTACTCTGGCGCTAGGATGGAGACCAGGGCAGGCCCCTAGGGGTCTCCGGTGCTCCGCATTCCAGAGACGCGCCAGGCCTGGGTTCACCAGGCAGCCCTTTTGACTCAGCGGCAGGCAAACCCAGAAGTCAGGCTTCCGGTCCAAGAGTCTCTCGGCTCGCTCACCCTCAGAGCCTCGAGCAAAACTCAGAGAGAGGGCAGGGTGGAGCGCGGCTGCGACATGACCGCCTCAACCCTGCCTTCTCCCCACCCCAAAGGCAGAAGTGTTTGGGGCCGCGCGGGGCCGGGCCCCTCTTCCTCCTCCCTCTCCAGGACACTGCGGGCAGGGCGGGGAAAATTCCTGTCTCCTCATCCCAAGACTCAAGTTCGCACACTGTGGCGACAGGCGGAGGCCAGTGCGTCTCGGGGGACTAGGGGGTGGCGAGGTCCCCGCGAAGGGTGGAGGCTAAGCTGTCGCCTCCTGTGCTACAGTCTGGGATTCCGGGGGCGCAGGTGTGACCCCCGTGGGCCACCTAGAGCTCCTGGTGGAGCAGTGGTTAGCGATGCTGCCTCTGCTCTGGCTGCAGCTGCTATTGCTGCAGCTGGGAGCGCGCAGGGGAGGCGCCCAGGACCCGACCCTCACCCCGGAGTCAGCCCTCCAGAGAGGTGAGTGTCTCCAGCGCTTGGAGACCCGATTGGCACTCAGGGGATGGGGTTGAGGTCGGGGATTGAGCAAGAAGAGGAAGGGCAAGGCCAAGTTTGTATGGTGGTCGCGTGTCTGCTGTCGGGGGTGAGAGTGGATGGGGCAGCCCCTCTCCCCACTGTCCACTCCAGGCACCCGGACTGCACGTCTTTCTGGGGTCTGCCAGAAGGAGTGGCAAGGGGCAGGGCCTGGGATCCAAACAAGTTGATTTGGCCCGCTTACGGAAGGGAGGATAGGAAAGCTTCAAAATGCAAACTTTGAGAGTTGTTTGGTAAATGCGCGCGCGCACACAGACACACAGACACACAGACACACAGACACACAGACACACACAGACACACACACACACACACACAAATCTCTTTTCGTCACCTCACAAAACAAGAACATGGCTCTATAATGTGTACCCTAGAGAAGACCCCCAAGCAGGCCTGTCTGCTCCGCCCAGGGGCGGGGGTCGAGGGAGGGGGGGCGGGGCACTTTGTCCTTATTAAGGTCCCTCAGCGAGGTGGGAGTGATGAGCTCTGTCCACACACAAGTTACTTTTTGCTCTTCAGTTTCTCTGGGCTGAACAAAAGTTCTGTAGTATCCATGGAACCACTGAGGTTTAAGTTACACTTCCCAAAACGTGCACAAACAGATCAATTCAACATACCGTTATTGAGCACTAACCACATATAGTAAGACTCATAAATGAACATGAAAGGAAATCCTAGGGAAGATTTCTGTCCTGCGGGGACCGATTCAGGAAAGAGTCTCTGAGACCCAAAAGGTGAGTCCCAGAATGGAAGTGTGTTTGAAGGGAGGTGGCCAGAGGAGACCTGCTGACAGTGTCCATCAAATCTACCCTTGGGGATAAGTTTGGAAACGAGGTATAAAACAAGATATGATCCAGATCTTTGTTCTTTTGTTTTTCTCGCTCAATGTATTTTGCAGACATTTTTGAGATTTTTTTCTCCCCTGGGTCGTACTTCCTAGCACTCTCCCAAGATTTTGTGTCGCCAGGCTAAAGGCCACCAACACTCTTACCCTGAGGCAGCCACAGGTCAGAAAGGCTCTTACCTTCAAGACAAGTTAAGCAAAACTTGCTCTGAGTGGACAAATGCACATACTCCCTGTGGTTCACACCTTTCTGTCTCAGTATCTGCTTCTCCCCTGGGCATAGGTGGTAGGACAGGGCAGCAGCTCCTATGAGGCAAGTTGGAGCTGGGCCACATGGAGCATGTGTTGGTGATCCTCATCCAGGGTCAGCACTCACTACAAGCTAATCCTTTCTATATTTGGCAGACCCAAAGCCTGGCCTCAGATAGTGGCTAATGAGACCTTTTTCATAGTCAAGGGCACTTTCAAAATTAGAACCACCTGTTCCCTGTTGTACCTGCCAGGTGCACATGAGCATAGAGATTCTTCAGATATGCAAACACTGAGGCTGATGGCCTAAATGCACTAACCTTCACACAGGCTCCCTTCCTGCCCCCAACCCCCTGTGCTTGTGGAATTTCAAGTATATTCTAGACAGGTGTGAAATCAAGCTTTCATTAGTACAAAGACAGAAAAAATCTTAGTATTGGAAAGGAACTGAAGCAGTGTCTATTCCATTCATAGAGCCTTCAAATGCAGGAGCTGAGACACAGTCCCTATGCTCATAGCCATGGCTTTTGGACCCCTCAGTTTATCCTTGCATCAGTGCTACATCAATTCACCTTCACCATGATTGACATCCACTAATCAGTTTTTAAAAAATACACATTCATTTTATTACATATACCCTAGCAATAGATATATAGTACTGCATAGCAGGTTTCGCATATAATATTATTCTGAATTGTACATCCTAAGCTTTCCAGCCCTGGGAAGCATGTGTTAGATTGTGCTGACTTTTGAATCATTTATCAATAAACTGAGCTTCAGAGCCAGAGAGAGTCAAACTCTGGCTTATGCTGTTTACCAGTTGTGTGATCTGGAACAAGTCTCTGTGCCTCAGTTTTTTCTCTTTTCAAAAATGGAGTTTATTGAGTTGGCATGGGTCCTGTATTCGACACCACCATTGTCACAAGTTCACATGTACAAGCTTCCAGGGGCCTGAAAGCCTCTGTTTCCCTATGTTCATGGACCAACCCTGGCTCTTACAATCTTTCTGCTCCCCCCCACCTCCGCCACCAATGGTTCCTGAGCTGTGGGTAGATGAGTTTTAATATAGGAATCCTATCTAAGGACACACACTCTGCAGTCTCTTAGTCTCTGAAACTTAGCCAGTTGTGGCCTTCTGTGTTCAGTGTGGAGTGAGACAGATGGGCAGTGGGGCCCAGCCCTAGCCTAGGAACTGTAGGCAACTGATTACTGCTGGGTGAGGGAGGGTGGATATTCTTTACGACTACATTCCAGTGGATGAACTTGTACTAAAGGAGATCTGGATATAAATGCTTGACTGGATACGACTTAACATATATGACACAATGTATGAGGTCGGGTGAGGAGGATGGTGGTGTAGATGGGGGAGGGGGTCTAAATTTGATTAAGAATTATTGTATGAAATGCACAAAAACTCAATAAAATATTTTTAATAGAACTTATATAATATTAGCTAAATGTCCTTTAGCTGCTTGATCACCATGGCACCATCTTCCTCTTGACAGCCCAGGCCATTTTGACTGTTTGACAGTTTGACAGCCCTATACCAATTATTTCCTTTCCTGAGCACTCTGCTTGACAGGTCTGGAGCCTGTCCCCTACCTCCAGGTGACTAGACCAACTGGCCTCCTTGTGGTTGACTTTCCCTCACTGAGTCCTAGTAGGTGCTAAAACTTAGTAACACTACTGTACTCATTACTTCTCTGTTGCTAAAATAAAACACTCTGACTAAAAGAAACTTGGGGGAAGAAAGTGTTTATTTGGCTTACATTTCCAGATCACAATACATTATTGAGGAACATCAGGGCAGGAACTCCAGGCAGGAACACTGTTTGCTGGCTTATGCTCAGCTAGCTCCTCATACAACCTAGGACCACAAGCCAAGAAGTGGTACCAACCACAGTGGGCTAGAACCTCCTACATTAATTGTCAGTCAAGATCATCCATCGCTGACATGCCCATAGACCAACCTGATAAAGACAATTACTCAAGTAAGACTTTTTTCAGACGATTCTATCAAGTCACCAGTTAATACTAACTAGGACAACCACTTAGTCACTCCAGATACAGAGAGGGCAAAGGGAAAATGAAGAAAGAGCAGAGCATCCTGGGGGAAAGGGAGGCAAAGTTTTGGCTAAAGGAAATTAACTGAGAGTGAAAACATTTTGAAGCTATATTGGAGGGTAAAACCCATAACTGTGAAGGAGGAAAGTTTCCTTCTGTGGTGTCAGTTCCCCAGATACACAGGTGAGTGAGCCCAGAGCTGAATCAGGCATGGACAGTTCTTCTGAACAATTAGTGACAAAGGAAAAGAGAGGTACTCGGGGCTATGAGGGAGGTTAAACTTGATCATGGGGCCATCTCTAAAGAGAAGTGAAACAGTGGGGATAAGAAGAAGGGAGAGCAGCTGAAGTCCTCACTGGTTACTATCTGTTCAGCATTCATGATTTTTCCCCCATCTTGTTTTGGGATCATCAGAAAGTAATCCCTGAGACACGTGTTTATTTCAGTGCAAGTTCTGTATTTGAGAGGCAATTCTAGAAAGCATGGTAAGGGGGTGAGGAGAAGTAAAGAAGGGAAGAAAGCCACTGTGGACAACCAAGGTTCAGTTTCACAGATGACCCTCTAAGGTGTCTATCATGGTAGACCCACAGAGGGTGGTATTTACTCACTAACACCCCTCTTTATTGATTGTCACTCCTAAGGCATTAATTCCTGGGTCCTTCTGGTCTGCCTGAAACACTCAGGTAGAAGCACAAAGTCTGTTGGATGCACAGAGCTTGTCTGCAGGTGAGCAAGCTCCAGGTTAGAGGATGTGAGCACAGAGCCTGCAGAATCTGCTACATACCCACATACTGGTGACGTAAAAATATAAACTGTTCCCAAGAAACCAAGAGTCTAGAGACAGATACAGAAACACCAATAGCCACAAAACAGAACAGTGTTACATAAAGGGATGTGCAAAGTGCTGAAGGCATGCAGAGGAGGAACTGGCCTGGGGAGCTGGAGACCTGCCAAAGGGCTATTGTTTGTTTAAAGGGTAAGTAGAGAGTTGCCATATGGGGAAAAGGAGATAGGGCACTAAGTCATGTTTTATGTGAAAGTCACAAAACCACACTTCAAAACTGTAAAAGTCAGTGAGGCAAGTATGGGGGCTCACTGTAAGTGTTCCAGAGTCTTGAGACTCAAGAACACTGGCAACTGGAATGAAGCAACCTCTCTCTCTCTCTCTCTCTCTCTCTCTCTCTCTCTCTCTCTCTCTCTCTCTCTCGACCTGCTTGGTGTCTCCTGCTGTGCTCTCTTCTCTCTCTCTCTCTCTCTCTCTCTCTCTCTCTCTCTCTCTCTCTCGACCTGCTTGGTGGTTCCTGCTGAGTTCTCCTTTCTGTTGACGTTTTGTGTGGTGGACAGATACCACACTATGGCTGCCTGAACAAAGACAGCCTGACCCCTTGGCATTGGTTTGAACCAAGAGTTATCTGTTCTGAGAATTTGTTCCTTCTGATTTCTCTCAGAATTGTCTCCACAACAAAGAATTTGCTCTCTTTTTATTGAGATAGTACATCCAGCATGAAATGAGAAAGGAAAAGTGGAACTTGTCTTATCAGGGGATCTTCCCTCTCTAACCCCTACTGACCTAGAACAGCACACACGACCACAAACAGATATTATCAATCTAATCCCGGCATATTATCAATCTAATCCCGGCTGCTGCTTTTAACACAAATGGGATAATTTGTTGCTTCCAAGGATATTTACTGCTTTCAGTACTGATATTTTCCCAATGTACACACACACGCACACACACATGCACACACACATAAATTCTGGGCTG